CAGGCTGCACCCCACCACCAGAGATGGGTGCTGTGCCCCGTGCCAGCGGCCAGCACAGGGTGACGGCCCCCCCCCCAGCTGCAAAGCATTCAGCAAAGAACTTGCGAGAGCAGCACTGGGGCTGGGGGGGGACATGGGGGGGGTGATACAGGCCAGGCTGGAGCTTAAATAAAACACTTAAATAAAGCAATGGTTGCCATCGGTGACTTGCCAACCAGCTGCCACAGGAGAAGCAACCAGCAGCAGAGGGGGTACGGGGCAGGCACAGCTGCCCTGGATGTTGGGGTGAAGCTGGGGACCCCCTGGCTGTCCCCTGGGACAGAGAGGGCCCCAGCTGGGGACGCAGCTCCGGGCTGGGCTGGTCAAGAGGGTGGGCGAAGGGTGGCCAAGTACGGTGACGCCTGTGCCCGGCACCAGGCTGGACCCGCAGCATCACCGTGGTGCCGGAGCTGTGCCAAGCCAGGGACAGGCTCGTCCCGCGGCACCGAACCCCAGCATGGAGCTGAAGCCTCCCAGCAGCAGCCCCATCCCACATGCGTATGTGTGCGTGTGTGTGTCCGTGCACGAGCACGTGTGCCCTCGGCCCACGAGCACGGGGCGGCAGGAGCCAGCCAGGGCAGCAGGACATGGGGCTGGGGGCGAGGGGGGGTGGGGGGGGGGGGGATTTCTCCCCTCGGGGTTTGGTTTTGCTGGAATTGCACAATTATCCTAAGCCTCAAATGAATTAAAAAAAAAAAAAACAAACACAAAACAAACAAAAAACCAAAACGGAACGAAGAACTGCGAGCAACCCCCCCACCCCCCGCCTCGTTTCGTCTCTTTGGCAGCAATAACTTAAAATCGCGTCAATGTGGGTTCAGTTGAGAGCAAGTTTTGTTTTTAGGGTGCAGTTGGGTTTTTGTTTCAGGTTTTTTTTTGTCCTTTTCTTTAAGTACAAAAATAGTCAGGTTGGCAGGTCCCAGCCAAAACGGAACGAAGAACTGCGAGCAACCCCCCCACCCCCCGCCTCGTTTCGTCTCTTTGGCAGCAATAACTTAAAATCGCGTCAATGTGGGTTCAGTTGAGAGCAAGTTTTGTTTTTAGGGTGCAGTTGGGTTTTTGTTTCAGGTTTTTTTTTGTCCTTTTCTTTAAGTACAAAAATAGTCAGGTTGGCAGGTCCCAGGGGGCCACCCCATGTGGGGCAGCCAGGACCCCCTCTCCTGCCAGCCCTCCCCGTGCTGCTCCTCGCTGCAGCGGGGCAGGGGTCCCGCCAGCCCTCTGGGTCCCTTGCTGGGATGGGACTGCTCCCTGAAAAGCAAGGAAGAGGGGAGCTCCCCAGCCCCCCTGAGTCCCCCCAAAGCCGTGCTGCCCACCCCGGGCACTGGGACGTGAGAGCCAGTGGTAGCCCTGGCATGGAGAGCAGGTGCTCAGGGCAACCTCAATCAGCAGTAGCAGCCGGCAGCCCCTCGCTCAGGAACGCCGTGGGGCCAAGCCGCTGCGAGGTGCAAGGCCAAGTGCATGGCACAGGGTGGGGGACAGCATGGGGGTGTGGGGACAAACACCACCTCGGGGAGCACGCGTGGGCAAGAAGCCAAGGGGGGAACTTCACTGGGGGGACACTCCGCAAATGTTAGCAAGATCAGGGCACTACCCTTTAAATGCTATAATTTTTATATATATATATATGTCTATATATATATATGTGTCTATTTATACACGCACACACAGCCACCCGCACACACACGGCCGTCACCCACCGCCTGGCCCCGGGCCGCACTGGCCCCGCTCCCACTCACAGCAGCAAATGAGCTCCTTCCGATAAAATCTGCCTAAAAAAATCCAGAGCACGGTCTCGGAGCTCATGGCTGGACCCTGCTCCTGGCCCTGCTGTCCTCCACCGCCCCGCGCTGGTGCCGGGGCAATGCCCGGCCGGCGTCCCGGCTGGCTCACTCCCGGTCACCATCTTCGCTGCTGCCTGCGAGGAGCAGAGAGGTGGTGTGAGCGGGTCCCGGTGCTCCCATGGGACACCCGGCCCTTCGGAGGGGGTGACCGTCCCCACAGGACACAAGGGCAGGGTGTCCCGCACAACCCTGGCTGCCACCGCAGCTGGCACTGGGGGACAGCAGCTCTCCAGACCCCCAGGGGTGGTGATGGGGTCCCGGCTGCCCACAGAGCAGCATGCGGGGGGACTCACCTCCTATGGAGTCCATGTCCGAGTCGGAGACGTGGGTGATGGAGAACCGGGACACTGGGGCAGGCGAGACCGTGAACCGGGAGAACTGGATGGGCAGTACCTGCTTCTGCACTGGCACCAGTGCAGGCAGCACAGGCAGCGCAGGCACGGCCAGGTCAGGCTCCGCCGGCGTCCCCGTCAGCGAGGACATGAGGGATGGCTTCACCGGCATGAGCGGAAAGTCATCGTCCCACTCAAAGCCGCCGCCTGCGATATGGAGCGAGGGGGCTGCGCCCCCCGTGGGGGTCACCCCAGCCTGCCCTGCCATGGTCCCCACCGCCCCCCCCGGCCCCTTACTCTCTTCCGAGGCATTGCCATCCGAGGAGTCGTCCGAGGCACCAAGCCTATCCGCCGGGCTCGGGGAGCTGCCGCCGGTGGGGGGCTGCCCTGAAGGCTGGGGGGACTCCGGGAAGCTCTGCTCTGCCAGCTCCCGCGTGGGGCTTTCCTGCACAAGGGGAGACAGGCGGGAAGGGACCCTCGCTAGAGGCATGCCAGGGGATGGCCCCTGCCACCAGTCCCCAGTATCCGAAAATGCTGTGGGGCCATGCCCAGCACCCAGCTCTGCCCTCCCCATGGCTGCCCACCTGGTCGAAGAGGTAGATGGTAACATCATCGTAGAAGGAGACGGCTTTCTTCTTGCGCTCCAGGTCCTCACAGAAGGCCTCGGAGAGCAGGCTGGGCATCTTGAGGAGGCTGCGCAGGTTCCTGCTGCTCTGGCTCTCGGCCACCACGATGGGCACGGCCGCTGGCTCCTCCTCGCTCTCCTCACTCTGCTCCTGGATGTTGTAGCAGCGCAGTTCCTCGTCCGACTCGTCGCTGTCCTCCGTATCCTCCTCCTCCTCCTCTGGCTCCTCGCGGCGCTCAGGGACGGCCGGCCGCAGCTCCCGGGCAGACGGGAGCGGGCAGAGGCCCGGGGGGGGCTCGCCCGCCGGGG